GAATCGCAGTCTGCAAAGGTGTCCTTTCAGGTGACAGTGTCCTGTAAGTAGTCCTCTCACTCACCGTAACAGTTCCTTGATCCTTAGTGCAGAAGATTCTTCTATGAATCTCTTTGCCTCTTTGAGTCCTGTTAAGGATCCCCAGCCCTGACAGCCTTCTTGGTAACTCCTACTGAGATACCGTAGTCTGGTTCAGGCCTAAGTCTTACCATTAGACGCTATATGGTTTGAAGTACCAACACGGTCTGGTCTGGCTCTCGCCAGCACAGTCATTCTCAGTTTCGGGATCTGCGGAGCAAAACCATATCTCGTGAAATAAACCGCGAGGAAACACAAATCCTTAGTTATCCCAGACAATGTCCGGATGGTATTTTGAAATAAACCACGACCGATTCCCTACAAACCCTTTACAGTTCATCCATCATCCTAGTTGCTGACAGTGTGGGAAACAAACACAGCGGTAGTGTTGGTAGCCATACGTGTCAGGTTTGTACAACTACAGCCTCATTGCACTATTTCCCTCCTGTTTCATACTTCTGCTGTCGCGAATTTACGGACCAATTTCCCACGACGGGCCGTAAATCCGCGGAGCGCTCAGGCGCGGCGGCGCATTCTGCACGTCATAAAGGGCGCCTGGAGAATGAAACGGCCTTATGAAACCTCACGTAATGGGCCCACGCTTAAATTTGTCCTGTCACTATAACGCATGCTACGTGTCCCGTCCATACTGTTCCTTCTCGAAATAGCCAGGTACAATTATGGAGCAGGGCTGCGTATAGTCACTCAGATGCTCAGGAAACTCCCCGCTTTTTATGGAACATTATGAACCAATGCTGTGGTAAGACGAGCCAGCTCCTGTCCTGAGTAAATTGAATACAGTTCAGAACATCGCACTCCAAGTTAGGTGAGTGGCCGAGTTAACACTCCGTCCGCTTTAAACCCAGAGAAGGGGCCTTGCTTACCCATTCGAAACGAGGCTGAGTTGCCCTCAAAACTGATATGGAAATATTTGCAAGAGAAAAATCCCTTGCTTCAACCGGGAATGGAACCCCGATTCCTCGGTCATCCAGCCAAGATCCTCGTCATTGTACAGACTGAAGCTTCTGGTTTTATATGGATCACTGTGTATAGTAAAGATCATAACTCTTTGGGACTGACTTCTTGAAAACAGCTGCGGCTGGCGTCTGTCAGCGGAATGATCGGGCACTCACGCCAGGTGAATTGCGTCGCCTTGCATTTCGCCACGGCGTCGGGTAATTTGTGAACGCGCCTGCTGTATCAGTCCTACCACAAATTGTACTTAACCCTTTAAAGCCTAATGGTTACTACTAACACACTAAAACTCTGCATTCTGCTGTTTGGGGAAACAGTCGCTGTTTGCTGTGAGAACCGTACGGAACACACAGATACACTCTGTGGGCAGAATGCAGAGTTCTATTATGGTAAAGCAAGTGGTACATATAGTTACCGCTGCGCTTTACGGAGTTAATATTTCTGATGTCAATAAATGTACCGTTTTCGATCTGTTCGCCGTCCTTATGCGGCAACTTCTCCGTCACGTAACTGCGGCGGGACGGTCTGCATCTAAGGCGCTCCAGTACACCACTGAAAAGCAGTGAAGCGTTCTGTAATTTGTGATTTATGTGACCCCATGCTTCCACCTTCGCACCTAGCACCGTCCCATCTGTGGGGCAGGTGCGTGTGAGACCGGCCCCATCTGCGCCCAGATGTGATCTACACGAATCGGGTAAAGGAGGAGATTGGCAGGGCATGTAACATACATGGAAGAAAGAAGATATACATACGTATTTTTAGGACGAACCGGAAGAAAGAGAGAACGAGGAAGATCTAAACTTAAGTGGGATGATGATGATGATGATGATAATAATAATAATAATAATAATAATAATAATAATAATAATAATAATAAACTGGATCTGGAAGAAACAGACTGGAAGTTTGTGAATTTGATTCAGCTGGCTCAGGATAGGCATCAGTGTCGGGATATTGCGAGCACGATAATGGAGCTTTGAGCTGCAAGCAATCAGGGAATTCCTTGACTAACCGAGTTTCGAACTTCTTCTTTATTGACTTGCTAACGCTGTTCTGACTGACCTCCTCAGTTGATGCAGGATCGTGTAACATATTTCCCGAGTGTGTCTGAGAGCCTGGCGGGACGCACTCGTGCGACAAATGGGATTAGGGTGGCGTGGGTGGGGGCGTCGGTAAGTCGGTAATGTGTACCTGGGTCACAGGGTGTCCCGGAGAGATATGCACGCTAACATTTTATTGAAGCAGTTACGACCTACCGATAAGGTAACAAGATGACTGACCAACTGTCTAATTACCTGTATTACACTGTCTTCCTTTTCTAAACAACCGTCGTAGTAATTGCTGACTTTCTTATGGTTTTCGCCCTAAACAGCAGCAATCGTTTGATCTCTGTGAACTCTGTCACGGAGAGGCGGTGTTTCCTGCGAGGTACGAACTGACTTGTTAAGTTGCTCCACTGTTACACTGAGTCCATTTATTTATAGCTCTCGTAACGACGTCATAGGATTATTTGTGAAAAATAATATGGACGTAAGTAGTCGTGGCCTTATTTGAGGTACACGATCCCAACATTTGCTGAAGCGCTGAGGAAAGCCATAAAGGACTTTATTCCAGACCGAGATTCAAACCAGGTATCTCCCGAATACGGGTCTCATTCGCTGCCGCTCTTGCCAAATAAGAGGGACATGAGGAGACGAATTACTGAAGGAGCTTCTTAGTGAATTCGAACCAAAAGCACGTGGCGACAGTTCACAGAACATCCTGTATAGTCCCTGTCTGAGGTACGTTAGAGGCATCCTGTGTCCGGAATTGTAATTCCGCACATGAAATGTAATTGTTGGCTTTTAATTCCGTTTGCAAGGCGACGCGGCAATTGGCCCGACCTGAGCGGACGGGGATGGCTGTATGTGCGGCGGATGTCGTTCCATTTTATGTGCCCTTATGACGTACACCACTGTTACTGACGTCACGGAAAAGGACCCTTTAGTATTTTGGGATAATTTCGCAATTCCCATCTCTGGATTTTTTGGTACTCGCAGCGGTGACTGTGGAGGATCTTCTGGGACATGACGCGGTACAGTTTGTTTGAAGTAAACAGACGTTTCGGAAGAACATACTGCCTCCATCGTCAGGACGGAAGAGTAAGCCAAGCGAGCAACCAGCGAGAAAAAGAGCTTTCTACTTGTTGCTTACATCTTATTGGGGCGCTCGGTAGGCTAATTCTTCTACCCCGAGGATGGAGGCAGTACGCTTTTCCGAAACGCCGGTACGCTTCTCTCAGAATACACGGCGTCACATCCCAAAAGGTAATTTTGAATTCCCACCCCTTGCCACAATTCCCACAGACAAGCCTTCTATTCAACCACCTTCGTATATTGTAGCCCAACTGTCAGGCATCGCTCTGACAGTTTGAAATTGTCTGTAAAGCACGAAAGAATAGCCATAAATGGGATGATGATAGTAATAATAATAATAATAATAATAATAATAATAATAATAATCAACATCATCATCATCATCGGCGGGTACACTGTAATACCGACTGAATCACCGCCATTTAGTGCTGCCATCTGTTGGTGATACCGTTTGGTTCCCATGAAAGTGTGACTATGTTGCAACGCTGCCAGTCGCTCAGCCGCTTGGTAGCACGTTCAGTGAGTGATGACTTGCAGGGGATATGGAAGGTAGCGGCGGTGGCCTAAGTTGCAGGGACCAGATGCCTGAGGACGCGCCTGCCAACCCCTGTCGCCGGTTTCTAAAGTAATTGCGCGTGCAGGCGTACTCCGCCCGTGTTTACGCTCGACGTCGTAATCCCGGTAATGGACAAGGGCGCGCGGCCATTACACAGACGGTAGCAGTTTCTCCCGCGCACCTGCCTACCGGGTGTCTCATAAACATCTTATTCTGTCGTAGCGGTCACATCTCTCTTAACGTAACCATAAGAATCTGCTGTTTGTATTTTGTACATATAGTAGTTCTTTTTCTTTTTGAAACAAATTTTATAATGATTATGAAGTAACAGACGCCTTGCACAGATATTTTTTCCTCTAACCTAAACAGCTTTGTAACTGATTTTGAGTAATGTGTTTTGCTGTTCTCAGACAGAGTGTCCATCACTGTTGCCCTTTGGTCCTCGTACAGTTTACAGTCCCGGAAGATATGTTCCTCCATTTGCAGCCGTCACCACATTCGCATTCAGTCGTGGACGCAACGTTAAATCTGTTTAGTATTGCTTTAAGCCTGTAGTGGCCTGCTCTCATACGGTTTATTGACACGAAGGCACGGCGGTTCATTTTTATCTTGCGGAACCTGTGGTGCCCTTCAAAGTGCCTTCCTGCTCTCTCCTGTTTGTGGTTTTCCAAAAACTGTGAAGTTCCTCTTTGCCTTTCTCTTTCCACTGGGCTTTAAGATTGGCTACTGGTAATATTAAGTGACTGTCTCTGCCTTCTTTGATTGATTGCTTAGGCTCTGAGTCAGCTCTGTCGTTAACTTCAAATCCACAGCGTCCCAGAATCCAGTACAATTTTATCTTTTCCCTCGCAATTCCAGTCTTTCTATTTTGTCAGTAAGCGCCTTTGAACCCGTATGTATTGATATCTGATGTTTTAGAATTCCAAGGGTTGTACGTGTTTCCTTTGAGAATAAGTGCCAGTGTAATTCATATAGCACTAGGCCACTATTTTAGGTCTTCAGAGCTGCTAATCTTTCATGGCTAAATAATGCATGCATACACGAGCTCCCCGGTAACTTGTTGTGTTGGGGAACCCCATCAGTACGTTACTTGACAATGTAGTTCTGACAGAATATCAGAAGATGTCGCATGCTATCAGCTCTATCGACGCGTGGCAGTTCTAGGGTTCAGTACCGAATCTCTGAATACTTTATCTTTATGTAATAGCGGCGTATCTGCCAGATAGTGAGGATACTGACGTGACGTGCTTTTGCAGGTCGGAGGCCGTGCGGTGAGGAAGTGACGTCACAGGATGCGCGCTTTACAATGAGGACAGCAGCGGCATGCTGGACCGCCGCAGCCGCCATCTTGCTTTCCACCATCTTGACAGGTAAGAGCGGACGCCGGAGGAAGGATGGACATAACTGTTGTGCCTCGTGTTGCGACACTGGCGGGGAGAGAAGCCGCGTCTCTGCTTTCAGTAATAACAGTGACCATGCAGTGAAGCTGGGGCACGCGATAGCGTAGTTGGTTGAGGCACCATGCTACAATTCGGAAGGTCGCGGAATCGAATCCCGATCAGGTCATTGTACTTTTTTCAATTGACCTAATCATTCCAGCTGCACTATGGGCCTGGGGCCGACCCAGCCTCTAACAGAAATGAGTACCAGGGATATTCTTGGAATATTCTTGGGGGTAAAGGGCGGCCGGCGCCTAGGGCTGACAACCTTGCCGTCATTTATGAGCCGACTGTCTAGAGAAAATGTGGGAACCTCGACGTCTCACAACCCTATGTCCCTGTTACAGGGACAGCTTTACCTTCATACATTAAGAATGCAGAAGTTCATATGGCATGTTAGGTCTGATATCCCTCCCTTCCCCTGACTTATCGTGTCCGGTGTTGTACCTCGATGGCCTCGCGTGCCGCAAGGGCATTCACTGCAGTCCAGATCGATACTACAGGATGACTTTGAAGTTGGTATGCAAATGTTATAGTGACAGAAACACGAGCAGGTGCGGAAGGCGGCCACCGTCTTCTGTCTCACACTGTGTAACTCACAGACAGGCATGACACAAGCGCACGCGCACAGTGCGGTGCCTGCTGAGGTAAGGTAATGTTGTTGGGCCGCGCCATAGCTCAAGCGGTTAGTCGCTGCCTCTCCAACCCGGCGGGCCGGGTTCGATCCCTGGTCTGGTCAAGTGGGATTTGTGGTGGACAAAATGGCGCTGGGGCAGGTTTTCTCCGAGTACTTCGGTTTCCCCTGCCAATCTTCATTCCACCAATTGCTCCACAATCACCCTCACCTATCATCTGGGGCTGGTACAATAGGCCAGAAGTAGGCCGCAGTACAAGGGACTTAGTCCCACCCCACTAGCATTAAAAAAAGGTAAAGTTGTTCCTGTGCTTAATTAATTAAGCACTAGTGTCGAAGTTATGAATCGGCAGAGGTGTACCTCCACTCCTCCATAGGCCTACATGGCGTAGTGCTTAATTAAGCACACGCAGAGCCTGAGTGATTCTGATTCAATCACGTTTACCCTACAACGCCGTCAGTGCGTGTACTCAATGGCGTCTAGTAGTAGGACGAATTCTTAAAAACGAGTGGGGAAAGACTTGAAGTCCGGTCCGATAAATTGCTGCTGGTCCTCGTCAGCACAGTCATTCTTGCTTCCGAGTCCAGTGGAACTTTATGGCTGTATTTTACCATCTGACGACTGTGGGAATCGTTGAAGGAAGTGGCCATGGCCTAATTTAATGAGCTGTGTCGTATGTGTCTGGAGGACATGAGAAGGGTCGCGAAGAACCTCAGGGTGGTCGGTGCCCCGACCTGCTCGATCCTAATGATGAGTGTTGCCATGACGTCACATTACGGCGCCTTCCCTCGGCTTCTGTTCACTCGCTCGGTGCATACGTCGTCTCGCTCCGTCACGGTCCCAAGCGACAGAACAAAGTAATGCCTTCCCCTGGAGCCGATCCCCGTATCTGCGTAATGGCGGGGGGGGGGTTGCTTGGATTGCCTGCTGTACGCCACGCTCATGGCGTTCTTGACGGCCCAACGCAAGCTTGTCACGTGAGACACTACGTGACGCACTATGCGGGGCACGCGGTTAGATACCACATATTTACCGGCGCTTCCATCTTCAGGGTACCTGAGGGTTGCTAGATATTTACGACTGTGTTGGAGGGTAAGAAAATGTTTCTCTAATTAGAGCGTCCAGACCGGCTTTGAGGCCCACCCAGCAATTGGTGTCGCTGGCTCTTTCCCCGGGGGTAAAGTGACCGGGGTGTGAAGCTGACCACCCACTTCAGTCTAGTGCCCACGTCAAAAATGGTGGAGCTATTCCTTCACACCAACATACGTCTTCATGACATTGTGCTTAATTAAATGCGTACAGGAAAAACTTCAGTTTTTTATCGGCGGGAGCTCCTGCCTCCATCTTCAGGATACTTCTGGGATGTGACATGTTTTCTGTAGGCATGTACAGGTCAGGTTATTCTTCTACTGTAAAGATGGAGGCAGCGGGCTCTTCCGAAAGTTGATGCATGGAGTCGCAACTCAGAAGACTGTAACCTTTAGATACCCTGAAGACGACCGCAGCAGTTTCCTCCAAAACGCTGGTAACAACCTATAAAAATACACGGGGCATTTCGGAAAGAAACAGACGTTTCGGAGAATCCCATTCCCCATTTCAACACTCAAGAACACAGCTGAGCTTGCCGCCTGCTCCTTACTTTCCCGTGCGACGCTTTCGGGCATCGCCTGAGGATGCCGGGCGTCTCTTGCAAGCATTTGCATGTTAACAGCCCGGCACGAGCAGAGGAGCTACAGTTACGCTGAACTCTGTTTCTTGTTAGGGTGGTTGCCTAAATGGCACTTTGCGTTCACGAAGAAATTGGGAGCAGATTAAATTCGCGGCATAACGGTAACGCTCTAGATCCGTGTTCTGCTCCCATCTGGGCCGCTACACTTTCCATCGTGGTTTTCCCTCGGTCCCTTCAGATAACTGTCCGGGATATTACTTCGATTAGGTCACAACCATTCCTTGTAATTCTTCCACTTTCCTGCTTCCTGACACTGTGCAGCCTGAGCTACTAAGATTGTCGTTAAGTAACACACGACAGATTAATAAATAAATATGGATCCTGCTTGTTGCCGTTCTGTTCAGAATATTATCTCTTCTCATTTGCTGTTCAAAGTGTCAAGTTTAATATGATCATAATTCTACCTGTTGTTTTGTATGGATGTGGAACTTTGTCTCTCACATCAGGGGAAGAATGCAAACTGGGGGTGTCTCAGAAGAGGGCCCCGTGGAGAACATTTGTACTAGGAGGGAGGTACCTGCTTAAGGGGGGAAAGTAATGGTTACTCTGCGGAACAAATTGGAGTGATCAAGTGAAGTCAGTGCCCTGCGTCCAAGCCGTTACGGCTGTCTTTGCCCGACTTCTCTCAAGGTGACATTAAAGAGTTTACAAGAGGCTTATTTGAGAGCTGGGATGACATTAGACAACTGGGTGGAGTTCTGGAGACTCGACAGTCCAGGGTGATTGAACAAGAAATGGCTAGAAGACTTCATAGGGATTTGAAGTGATTTCTTCGGTGTTGAGATCCGTTGCTAGGAGACGACTAGTGGACACTGAGAAATCTAGTACGTGTGCAACGGTGGACTGGAAATTGGGTAAATCAGCGATAGCGCTGTACTGATTGTAATTAAGAGAGATTGTACCCGAAGTGCCAATAAATCCAATCATCTGATCTAGAACCCGTTATTTTAGTCACACGTACCCCTCCCCCCTACATGTGATAGTGTGATAGATGGGTGTTATGGAGACAGGTTGTGGAGATCGGGTGAGGGTGCTACTGGCTCGTGATCGAGTCCAATGGCACGGTGATTTGCAAATCGTGCTAATTTCCCTTCTATGTTCCGTTACTAATGCGGTGTTGTGCATCAGCGAGGTTCAGGCTGTGTCCTTCTTGCCCTTTTACTAGAATTCTGTGGAACGTTGCACACGGATGTGTGCTCCTTTTGACTTGACCCCCGTTTCCCCGCGCTGTGGCTGTTCCCGCCCTTTTGTTTCTCGGGGGGCTTGCCAAATGAGGTGGATTCAGAGATCGTCAGTTTGTTGGCTCAGTGAATATCTGATGAGTTCGCAGTGAAACAATCATCACACACGTGAATTATCCAGGGACCCAAAAGCGACAGTTCTGCCTGGAAATTAATGACAACGCCGCATACGTGGTCAACAGAGAAGGGGGGGGGGGAATTAAGAGTTCGTTTCCAGGCAATCGTAAATTGCGCCAAATTTTTGCTGCGGTTTGTTGCCCGGGTTTGGGAATTAATTTTTCAGACATTGCAACAGTACGACCATGCGAGTTATAGGAATATCGCCAGTGTTGCCACCTTGCACACTTATCATTTCCCTTAGGAATTATACTTGATTAAAAAAGCGAGTCTCGGAGTGCGCCTGCAACGTATGTTTCACAGTTTGTCTGAGTATTCTCAGAATCGAATTTAAAATGTGAATCCGGGGTAGCTCAGTCAGTACAGTGACCAGATTACGGGCTGAAAGACCGAGGAATCGGGGTTAGATTCTGTTTCGTCCAGATTGGCTCTGGGGGCCACCCACCCTCCCATCAAGTGGGTACTGGGCTGCAGTCAGCGTCATTGTGTGATTTTTACTTCTGGTTGCAACAACAAGAACTGTGTGGGATGCACTGAGTACACATTTCTTTCAGAACACGCAAGTCACTTGGAGATCTACATACAGATGACAGTTAAGGTGAGAGTAAGGTTTGACCCTTGTTTAATTAATTAAACACTATCTCATGTACTGTAGGGGGAATGAAGCATCCTTAACCTCAGCTCTAGATCTAGGTGAGTGGTCAGCTTCACGCCTCGGGAGCTGTATCCGGGCAAAGAACCCCCGGTACCCATTGGATAGAAGCTTGGTGGGCCCCAGAGCGGGTCTGGAAGCTGAGAAGAGGAAATCTCTTGCACCTGAAGGAAATCGAACCCCATTCCTATGATATTTGGCAGGTTTAACTTATCTAGAATGAGTAGCTATCCAATGTTGTGGTATCCTAGCAACCGTATCGGCGTTACAGTAGGTTTATTGGAATCAGAGCATTACCATGGCGACGGCGTAACTGCAGTGATGATGAGAAGCCCATCGGATATTTGTTTCTCCTGGAAATAAGCGACTTGGCTGCGCGGGGGCATCGACTCGACCGATTGCCAACAGCGGCAAAACAGTTGCCGCTGACCTGTGTCTGTGTGTGTGCAGGGCAGGGTTCTGACTCATGTTCTCAGTCTTACATCATGAACACTGCGGCTAGGAGGGACTGAGGAAAACCTCAGGAACCTTAGTCAAGACAACCGGTCTGTGTCGCG